GGGGATCGTATCTGTTATATATACCAACAAGGATAGAGACAGAAAGAAAGGAAGGCTAGCTGTACTTACAGAGCTAGTATATGTACATCGAGTATGACGCTAGAAGAAGTACTTCTGGAAGCTCGAGCAGAGCAAAGAGCTTTAGAGATGGCTGAAGAGCTGAAGACGAAATATGACCAACTAAAAGAATTCAGGAATGCAAATATGCTTATATAGTTATTTAATTAAATACAATGGATAAAATAAATAAAAGACATAACAAAAATAAGCATAATAAGAGAAAATGAAACAATTTAAAGTACAGGTATAGTAAAAATAAATAATTAAAATAAAAATGGTTGGTTTTGAGTTTGTGTTTGGAGATATCACTTTCAGCTCCTTAAAGCTAAAAATTTAAAAACTCCCCAAAGATTTTTGTCTCATAATTTGAAGAAACTAAAAGAGTCCCGTCAAAGGACCCAAGAGACCATCTTCGTTCAAAGGCTGGAGGAGTGTCAGACACGTCGGCTGGTGCAACTCAGTGTAACGTTCCCGACTTCTGGTCCTGGTGAGCACACAAGGGGCGAAGTTAAGAATCAGAAAGTGATTTGTAATTTATTTTTGCTTAGTCTAAATGGGACGGCATTGCACTAGTCTAACCTGCAGGAGTGCATGTTAGTCCCTTTGAGTTGCTCAGAGAGTGAAATCGCCTTGAAGATGCCATGTTTTTCAGAGGTAAGTGTGTGAAGTGCATTTTCACTCAAATATCGGGAGGATCCTCTCTTGTTCGACCAACCTACCTCGGCCTTTATGGGAGAACTGTTTTCAACCACAGATAACATAACACTGGTGTAAAAATCATAGGCATGAAAAGACTGAAGAGATCAGTCACGACACTTCATTATTCGCCATTTTTGTTTTTAAAAATCAGACAAATCTGCAGGTAAATGAGAGGATTGGGGCTTTGCTTTGCAGACTAAATGGTTCTGACAGTGTTATTGTTGATTAGCTGCAACATGACAGATTTTCCCATACGGTGAAACTTCTCAACTTTTCACAATAAGACGGCTTGTTTAATTTGCAGGTGTTTCTCTGGATTTCTCTGAACCGGCCTTTAAAAGCTTGCACCTCAGCCCAGACCTCTCTGCTTTAATGAGCTTCATTTCGGTTTCTGTGATTTGTGTCATTCGTCATCATCTCATATTGCAGCAGAAGTAATTGCAGTAATTATCCACATGGTGAACCCACTTGAACAAAGAAAAGCATTTCAATAAAGAGATGAAGCTTTCGAGCAAGCTGATGACCTGCGCTGTGTGTTTGCACAAGTGTGGGTTTTGATTCAACGCATATAGAATTAAAACTATGCAATCAGACGATGGTAGATAATAGCCGCTGAGTGGGGAAATAGACATTGTGCCTCCTTAGGTGTTTAGAATTACAAAGAAGTGAGATATTGTGCACTGAATGGATTTCCACTTCACAAATTGAATAAGAAAAATAATTAAATGAACATTTTAAAATATTCTAATTTCCTCTGTAGAATCAAAATGATCGTAAGGACAATAATAGCATTACCAATGATAGCCTGAGGACATGGCTGTAATGTATTATATTATGATGTGAACATAAAATAAACAGTGTAATGTTTCATCACTTCAGAGCCTGCAGGAGTGCTGACACTCTGCGTCCATTATAACAGATCGTCAGTGATAGTTTCCTAAATGGAACAAATTTCACGTCATGAACTCACAAGCGTTGCAGCATCCCTGCAATACTTGTTGTCCAGCAACAAATTTCAGTGAAGCTCAGGAATAATTCTGTGCTAATTATAGAAACTTCTTTCCTTTCTGGATCTTTAAAAGAATCCTGCAGAACATCACAGCAGGGGCATTGGCAGTCTAACATTTCCTTGTGTGGGAAGGTGAAACTTAAGAATAACTTTATTTTTTACGGATACGTTTTGATCAGAGTCATGAAACATTCAGAGCATGCACATCACATATTTATCCATAAAAGTGTGGTATCTGTTAAGCCTGCGAGAGCCAGATGAAACCTGTTTTTATGCCCCACACAGTTGGCACAAGCGCTAAAGAAAATATTTTCAAGTCTGCTGATCGTGTAGCAACACTGCAAGAACGACATCGGGAGTGAAAGCGTGTTTGTGAAATGCAGCTCTTAATTCCTGAGATTTTCTTCCACCTTATTGAATGAGGGGCTTTTATGGCATTTTTCTGGGCTTACTGACCACTCAAAGCAAGGACACTTCAATATGTGGATGCAGGAGCCATGGATCTTTTGGTTGAAGTGCAGCCCGCTCTGTTTAGCCCACCCCCTCACAACACACCCCCAGATTCCTTGCAAATAGTTACTGGGCTTCAAGACTTTAAAGATGCACTATAAAGAACAAACTATAAAGAACTGAAATAATTAATCGACCGTGGACTTTGGAGTAATTTTGAGGTATTTTGAATGAACACTTTTTTACAAAGTAACTGATTCAGGTCAACAAAACAAAACTTTTCTTATTAATTTCTTATAAATTGATCCTTTAAGTATATTTTACAAGTAATGCTTGTGATCTTTTACTCAACTGTACAAAACTTCTGCCTTTTTGTCAAGCATGTATTTTTGTCATTGATTAGTGTGAGTTGAGGTTGAGTCACAGAGGAAGCTCTGAGGGTGTTTATGCTCTGTGAATACGCACTATTGTCATGTTAATGTGCCTGGTAGCCTCTGATGATCCTCGAGGTGGGATTATATTGTACAACTGAACGCTGAATTCACACTTTCTCAGGAGAGCCGAGGGCAGAATCTGAGGATTACTAAACTGCATCTAAAAATCAATGTGGGGAAACTCTTGGCTATATCAGCACTTACACTTTGCACACTGGAGGCACGTGTGTTTGCATTCTTTCTACAAAGAAAGGGTGTGTTTAAGAAGCAGAAGCAAGCTTTTGTTGTGGCACCAAAGCTTCTGCTGCTGTAGCCCTTCAGTCTGCTTTATGTCCACGATGCCTTTTCACTTAAATAACCTACACAGCAGAAAATGTTCCCAAACATGAGTAAAATCAGAAGCATCCCTATTCAGCAGCAAAGCCCTTAATCTCTCTCCATGCTTCAAGGCATAATGTCAGCATGGGAAACAGTTAGCATTAAAGACTGCAAGCAAAAAACCGTTCTGAATTACCCAACTCATTGTAATTTATCATTTCCTTGTACCAGTGCTGACGTGCCTCGATGACAGTAGTATTGCATAAAACAGTGATGAGAGGGAAGAAGGATGAGAGAAGGATGAGTTTATGCTGAAAACGTGCAGCAGGAAGCAGGAAGCAGGAAGGGATTCATGAATAGTCAGGGATAAACCCAAAATTGATAAGTAGAATCAACAAACTGATATCAAGCTTCACCTGCAGTTACATCGAGTTAAAGCTAATATCTGATTTAAAAAAGCAAGATTACACAATACACACAAGTGTATTAACAGCGTTTTTTCCTATCACACTGCGTCTTTTACTGCTTTCTCATCTCTGCAAGTCAAATGTGACACAACCTATCAAGGTGTTTGACGTTAGTGACGTGCCACTTATTCATCGCCACTTTGAAGTCACTCAATCTTTCTCACACTGACTGTACATCCAAAGGTGAGTCAGAGGACATTGTGAAATCCTCCAATGACTCATTAAACACGAGTAAATACGAAGCTTGGAACTGAAAAGATACTTTGGACTCATTGCTAAAGTGATGGGAGAACGATTTAAATATGTCAGAAGAAAAAGAAATACAGCTCAACAGGTGGTGAGATTGTGCAACTTGGACTCAGTGACTGCCCACAGATGCAGCTGCATTGTGGGCAAGAATGCCAGGGATGAATAACTGGCCTGTCTCTTTCATTGATTTCCCCTGAAAGCAACAGTGAGGAGGGAACTCCTGGAGGCTCAGCTGAATAGTCTTTTTCAATCCCAATCCTGAGAAGGCTCAGCCTCTCTATGGGCAACAAATTCACCTAGTAGAGCATCTCAGTCTGCTTGAACTGAATGTT